TGTAGGGCCACCTAACGCAAAGACGGCTACAGACGGGTGAAGCAAATGTCAAACGAGCAACAAACTTACACTGGGGCGTATACTGGGGCTATGTTGGGACTTTTTCTACAGTAAAGAACCTACTAAAGATCGTCATTCACCAAACCAAACCAGCAGTCTATCGTTCTCTCTACAATACCATCCTATCGTCATTCACCAAACCAAACCAGCAGTCTATCGTTCTCTCTACAATACCATCCTATCGTCATTCCGTAGTGCCGCTCGATTGCCCAACCACTCGTGCTTGCACGTTTTCACTCTATGCAACGCACAGCCATACCACATGTTCTCTTGAACGGAACATTCCTTCCCTTCTCCGCACCGGAGAAACGTGTCCAGTGTTGTCCATTACTAGTAGATTACGCAAAGCCTAGGATTTACGAAGCAATGGGGATAGACAACGAAAATACCAAAAACAAAAAGGCACAAGCTTGTAGGGTTCTAGGGTCCCTAGAAGTTTGAATAGCATTCTAGAGTCTACACTTAGATTACACTGCACTGACTGCAGAGGAGTCGAGAGGACAGTAACTAGTAGCCACATTACGTAAAGCCTAGTACTAGGATTTACGAAGCACTGGGGGAAGGACAACAAAAATCATGTTGAGCAGCCTACGGTCCCTGTAATCCTCCTTTGCGCATAGCCGCATTCTACGCTCCCTCTAATGTGCAGCAGCGAAAGCGGACTGCAGCTATGACATGCAATGCAGATTCAACAGGACTCAGGAGGCGACCCTGGCACCCGGTTTTTGGTTCCCATCCGCCGCATCCGGTTCGTTTCCCAGCCCCATCTCAAAAGAAGAATAGTAGAATAAACGGAAGAGGACTGAGAACACAATTAGACACACAAAGTCACTCGAGTTGAGACTCAGTCTGTCGTTTCGGAAGCGTCAACAAGTTTTTGAAACTCGTGGACAGGCAAAGTCTCTAAACCAGGAGGACAAAGACTCCCACCACACGACCTTACTAATAACCGAATGAAGGACAGCCTCGAAGAACGGTCTGCACCGAAAATAACATCAAGAAATGGATTTGAAGACGCACTGTATGCATCCTTGCAAAAAAGGCAAAGAACACAACTTCTCGTGTCAGAGAAGTCCTCATTCAAACCGACGACGAGCACAACGACGGGGAGTTGCCCAACTTGCCCGACAAGCCAAACCACCTAGTACGCACAAATCGAGCAACAACAACAACCACGACGACAACGACGAAGAATTTCAAAGCAAATGCTTGGCAACCCCGGTTTACTGGTTGAACTCAGGCCCTCAGGGTATGTATCGCGCCACTGGGCCAGTGCATCTCTGGCGTACAAAAGGTTTGAGATTTTGTTAAAATTGTTTGTTACGCGCATCAATGCGCCTGACAGTGTCTCAGTTGGTGCACCCGTGAACTGTTTGAAATACAGACCTCAGTTCAAATCCCAATCAACTCCAATGGCTGAATCACTGTGAAGTTACCTGGGGCCAGTCAGTTCGAAGATGATGATATGTCGAGACCTTCGACCTGCTAAGAAGGGGAAAAACTTCCGAAAAAGAAAACTAACTGTACAGGCATTGCACTCCGTTGCACAGGCCTTATACTTCGTACTATTGCGATGTGCAGAACTCTACCGCAGCACCACTAAGTCTTTTGTTATTAAAAAGAAGAAGAAGAAGGTCACAAATTTCTCAAAATGATATATGCAATACAGTAATAGAAAACATCATTCTAGGCAAAGTGTGAAATCCGTATCAGATGTTAAACCACCACTAACGGCAACTCGAAGGAGTCGAAGCCTCTTTTTGCGAACTTCAAGGTGGAAAAGAACTGTGCACCAAGCTTTGCCGAAGCTCCAGGACAGCGTTTTTTTTTTTTTTTTTTTTTTTTTTTTTTTTTTCCTGCCACCGCCATCCATTTTGGTCCGGTAGCACTCACTGTTCACTCGAGGAATGCCGTCATTTGGTGTTTTGGTGTTTGCTTGTGAATGGTAATCATGGTGGTTTAAGACAAAAAGTCAAAACAGAACAAAAAACAAACAAAAGAAAACAACATTTTGTACATCGTACGTTGCGTACAAATGTGCCAAAACAATATCATGGCATTGTGCGGACGTTGCATGATTCACTCCAGTGCATAGAGTACAATGTGATGCACTGTGTGTAGCACCCAGCCCAATGGCCAAAGCAGACAGAACTCACAGAAGCGAAGGAAGAGATCCGGGGAGGGAGGACGACGAGACTCAGTGCGGAAAACGCGAATACCTCCACAGGTGAGCACGCCCGGAGCACAACTTGTGCTATTCATTCATACTACGGACTTTCGCTATCCAATCTCTCAGTTTCAAAACTTCTTCAGCTTCCATAAGACATTCAGTAGCGTTGCTCATCATCATCATCATCATAAGAGGAACTAGCTGCTTGGTGAATCGTTACTCCTTTTTTCTTCTTTTTTTTTTGGAGGGGGGGGGAAGAAACGTTCCTGCAGAAGGCCACTATCCCGGAGGTAGTGAGAGAATCCCCAGACATGAGGCCTTACCAGTTGGACGGCTCAAGTCTATTGGTGGGTAGTCGTTACTCTTCTTAACACGCCGGTCGCGCGAAAGAAGAGAGCGTGTGACTAGTGATGGGTTGAAAAGGAGGAACTTTGCGGTGGGGCAGAAAACCAAATGATGGCATGCGCCATACACAAAGCCAAACACGATCACCAGTTGAGTTTTGAGTACAGCGCAACGCACACCGGGGAATCTTAAAATAGACTGTCCAAAGCCCGCTTCCTGACGAGTCGGTGACACTCCGGACTATGATGCAGCCTTCAGCGTGAGCGCATCTCGTAGAATAACCTATAATATGTCAGACTGTCAGTGTGAGACACATTGCAACGCACTAGGCCGAGGAGAAGGGCTGCAAACCCGTGACCACACGGCCTGCATGCTCGCATGTGATCTCGTGCTCGTTCGGTAGCATACCAGGTAGTACCTTGTTGGAATAAAAAAAGAGGCAAACTTGAACGCACATGGTTCCTCAGCTTGGACTCACTTGGGGACGTCGGGCAGCGGGAGGGTCGTACTTCTTCTGCGCAAGCCAGGGGTCACACAAGTACTACCGGTAGTAGTATACCTCTCAAGGTCCGCAATCGGTCACAAGGTTTGATGTCGCGCGCAATTACCACCGAGGAGGACCTAGTCCAAACTTCCAAAGCCGAAGCACGAGAGTTACTCCTTTTCTTAGCCGCGAGATAACTCCGGACGTGCCCTAAGTTAAAGTCCGTGGCCCACGAAGGGTGACCAAATTCACGTACCCGAGGTCGACCAACGAGCTGCGAGATAAATATGGACGTCACCGTGACCTAAGTTAAAGCCCGCGGCCCATTCAAGATGACCCCCCCCCAATTTTTATTTATTATTATTATTATTTTTTAATTATTATTTTTTTTAATGACCCCCCAAATTCACGTTCATGTCCTTCGGGACATCCGTTAAAATTGGAACGATACAGAGAAGATTAGCATGGCCCCTGCGCAAGAAAAAAAAAATAAAAAAAATCACGTTCCGAACAACCAAAAAAAAAAAAAAAAAAAAAAAGTCCGTATTTGGGGGGTCATCTTGAGTGGCCCGCGGGCTTTCACGTAGCGAATGCCTGCTAGGCCGTCGGCGCACGCAGCATTGGCTAACACCCACGTCTTTGTACTCGTAAAAGAAGGCATTCGCGTATTACATTTTGCAAAACCCAAAACGGGGGCTGGGAGAGCTACCGAGCTCGACGCATAGAGGAAAATTTAATTCAGCTTTCGTGGGACAGGCACACACACAGACAAGCGGCGAGTAGAGGACTCAGGACCGGAAAAACATCTAGTAAAAAAAAAAAAAAAAAAAAAAAAAAAAAAAAAAAAAAAAACATCTACCTAAATTAACTTAGGACGCAGCGGCTGCCCATCAAGTCGAACCCTTTAGGCATGCGCAGCACATTCTTCCATGTTCAGAAAAAACGCCAGCGCAATCATGGCGTATTCTCCCTTCATCGCAGAAGTTCGCGGAATTAACCTCAGAGTCAGAGAGTCTATGTCGTAATCCCCGAGGAGGAGGGCCACCTTGTTGCCCGCGTACCTACGTACCTGCCTGCCCTGCCTATGTAGCAGCAGCCCCCTCCCTCAGAGTCTCTCCCTGCCCCCGTCGCAGCGGCTTCGCTGACTGCCATGCCTACCTGCTACGGCGAATGAGGCAATTTTTTTTATCTAACTTGAAGCACAGCTAACCTGCCTGGCCAGCTCTCACCGACCGCTTCCCCGCTGCCAAGGGACAGAGCAAACATGCATGCTATAACATTTTGCGGTCTCACTAACTACTGTTCCGGTTTGCCGACTGAATCTCGCATTGCAGTGAGCCATGCAAACTAAATGATGGCACGGGAGCATGCACGCGTCGGCATTTTCAATGTCTACAGTTGATCAGTTGACCTGCCGGGAGTGACTGCACTAACCGGATTACCTACAGTCTTCCCCCGAATACAACGTACGGTCATTATAGCTGAATGTGGGGTATCTTTCAGTCTAAATTCAGCTATAATGACCGTACGTTGTATTCGGGGGAAGACTGTAGACCCGATGACTCGTGTTAAGCTCCATTCCATTCCTATATGGCTAACTGCTACAGTGAGAGCAAGCATTAGGGACGGCAGCACGACGACGAAGCAAAGGCACAAGGACACGAGAGAAAAGAGTTCGACGACGACTGGGAAAGCTTGCAAACTGGAGAAACGGGGCCGCGTCGGACAAGGGGAGGGGAGGGGAGGGGAGGGGAGGGATTACCACCTATGTAAGGAGGGAAGGAGGGAGGAAACGCAACGCAATGCAGGTGAGGGAAGGAGGGAGGAAACGCAACGCAATGCAACGCAACGCAACGGAACGGAACGCAATGGAACGGAACGCAACGCAACGCAAAGGAACGCAACGGAAAGCAACGCAACGCAACACAACGCAACCCTTACCTTTCCCACGAGGTCAGCACCGACATCTGCCGCCTTGGTGTAGATACCGCCGCCCACACGACCGAAAAGAGCGACGGACGAACCGCCGAGGCCGTAACCGGCAATGGATTCATAGAGGCCAATCCAGTCTTCGCCGTAGTATTGTTGGAAGACCAAGATAGTGAAGTAGAGGACAATCAAGCCTAGAGATGTCAAGAGAAAGCCCATCACCGCGCCAGAGCGGAATGCCGCCTTAAATGCCGGCCCTACGCCCCTCCTCGCCTCCAGCGTCGTCCTGGCGTTGGCAAAGGTGGCGATTTTCATTCCTAGGAAGCCACACACAGTGGACGTGATGGCCCCGAGAGCGAAGGCCACCGCGCTGAGCAAGGCATTCATCAGTCCCGACCCACACACCTTCGTCTCGTCCCATTCGCACGGCTTCTTGTCGGTGCCGAAGTTCTCCGTGGCGCCGAGGAACGCGAAAATGACGATGAAGAAGCCCACCATGAAATATGACAGGTACTTGTACTCCGTCATCAAGAACGACACCGCGCCCTCCGATATCGCTTCTTGAATTTCCGCGCACCTCGTCACCACGCTGCTGTCCTCCAGCCCTTCATCGCCCATCAACGGGTAGTTGAGCGCGGGCCCCCCCGACGGGCGGACACTGATTTTGCCGACCACCGACCACTGCATTACCGCGAACAGAATGCCAATCACGCACGTCACCGGGATGAAGATAAGCACGGCCGTCTCCCCGACTATGGTGTTGCCGGTGGCCGCTGCCAGCGCCAGGTCGGCAGGGACCGTCGTCATGGCGTTCAAACCCTCCGTCGCCGCCGCCATGGCTACAACGCAGCTACAGGTAGCTGGCAAGCCAGCCCCAGGTGCACGCGAGACTCACCAGCTGCTGGCCGCTCTCGCGCTCTCGGCCCCACTGCGCACTCCGGTGTGCCCTGCCTGCCTGCTCGGCACCGCGCCCGCCGCCAGACACGAGAGATTGCCCCGCCACGCCCGGCTTAGCGCGACGCGGAAGGTCGCTCGCTCCCGCCCCGAATCACTTCCCTCTGCTCTCCTCTCGGATCTTCACACGTTTCACCGACTTTCTCAATTATATTCGTCTTTATCATGAAAGGCCAATTGACACACCGACCGCGCGGTGCTTCACAATTATCTTGTCAGCTCGCTTCACAATTTCTCATTATCTTGTCAGCGAGCAATTGGCAAACGGTCGCTTGCCTCTTGCTGCAGCTGCGACTATTGCCGCTGCTCTCGCTTCAGCTGGCAGCTGCTGTCCCCCGTCTTCTCGGAACGCCCGCGGCAACTCGAGCTGGATGGATTCCAGCGACGGATTTCAAATTGCCCTGCCCGGCGCCCGCCCGTTTCTGATGCGCTTTCCGACTCCCTCGCCCCCGCCCTACCCCCCCCCGTCGACCCCCGCGCTGGCCCGTCCGATCTCCTCCCTGCTTCGCATCGCTCCCGTTGCCAGATCGTATCGCCCGGCCAAATCCTCCATCGTTCCCCTTTTCGACGGGGCGGCGCGCTGCTTGAGGGGTCTCGTGGGCGCGATCGGGAGCTCCCAAAAGTCGGCGCTTCTTCACAGGCGGGGCGAAGAGACCCCGCTCAAGTCCTGGCACTACAACGCAGCCGGACCCGCTCACCCACGCGCGAACCTGCGGTCGGCGAGGTGGTGGGCCGCCAAACGCGGTAGTGCCAAGACTTTCACGGAGGCGTACTCGTAACAGGCCTTTTTTTTTTTTTTTTTTTTKGGGGGGGGTKGGGGGGGGGGGGAACGTGCCAGGACTTTCACGGAGGCATCCCCACACTTCCTCGAAACACGCGACATCTTTTTTTCTTTTCTTTTCTTTTTTTCTTTTAGTCTACCGTGTCGGGTCACATAGATGGTGGTCGTCAACATAGTAAGGGCAGACCTGAATAAAAAGAATACCTTTCATCCAGCGGCCTAACTCAGTGTGTAAGGCACGCAAGTGGCATTCAGGAGGTCGTGGTTTCAATCCCCATTGGCCTCATGTACCTTCCAGGGCATGCTTGGCGCCCGCCACCTAGAGATAAACCACTGGATCCCCCGATCGGCATTGAGCAGAGTCTGCTGATGTTCGTAGGGGAGGGTACCTGAGGGGAGGCACAGGGATTGGTCCTGTTGGCATGGTCCCTGATGCTACTGGCTGTCCCCTAGCCGGTATCGCCCACCTGCAGGTCGGGAGCAGCCCCCGCATGTGCTCTCCTGAACACGGTTCTGGCAGCTACGGGGTTCCCCGTATGCCTACAATTAGGAGTAGTGGTAGGTAGGTAGTGTGAGGTGAAATTGAGAGAAGAACATCGCTTTGAAAAAAAAAAAAAAAAAAAAAAAAAAGAATACCTTTCTCGGCCTTCTTCTTGTTTTTCCAAAAAAGATGCGCAACGTCTCCGGTATGATCCGGGCACTCCGGCCAGGTTCATACCGGGGTTGCCATTTCATTATACAAACCGGAAAACGGGCAAGGTCCCACTTGCACGGATTAAGAGAATCTGGCCGTTGATCTTTGTTATCTACGGTCGATATCGCTTAATTTGTGTAAGTGGGACCTAGCCCCGGGTCCGGCGTCCCTCACATCAACAGTAAATTTTGGCAAAACTCAGGCCGCCTTTCTCGGCCTTTTGGCTAAGATCAAGTGTAGTATCTGTTCTGATCTGTTCAATATCTGATCCTTTGGGGGGCAGAAAAAAAAAAAAAAAAAAAAAAAAGGAGTCCTAGTGTGAGTATTCCTTTGTTTTTTTTTTTCACAGTGAAAACCGGCCTACGTTTACTAGGGGGAGTGATAAGAGCATCTACCCCGACCGTATTAGGGCTGGCATCCGGTGCTCCAATCAATTGGTGGGGAGCAGCACCTGCTGGAAAACGGGTCCAGCATCCCAAATACATCCAATATTCGATTTTTGCACAGAGTCACTAGTCGGACTCCCTTACCCGGCTTCAACTTGTTGGGGTAGAGAGGAGTAGGGGGAACCTAATCAGAAAGGCAGCTGCCCTTTCTACTATGTTCACGTTCCCTTACTGGCTACTGCCCCCGAAAAGCTCCCTTGTAATTAATCCCTCCCCACAACTGCCTCTCTCTGATCCCTTTCGCTGTCCCCCCTTATGAAGAATAGACGCTGAGTCTGAGGTCGTCACGACTCGTCAGGTGCTGTCGGAGTTATTCTGAGCATCCATCTGTGTACGCTGAGTTTGTGCTGCTCTCGGTAGTCTTGCCTGGACAGGACTTTGGGCGCAGACGCCGCAGCGGACTGAAAAAAAAAGGGCGGGCACAAAAAATGAAAAATATGGCAGTGTGATCCGTGCGCTAATCGCGAGCGCTAAGCATCGCTTCGGCCACGCTTACCGCTTAAGCGTGATTAGGGCTGGAAAAGCGTTGTTAAGGGCACAGTGGTGATGGCAGAAGCTGTTGGTATGAAAGTGAGATGCTCAGCCTGGACACGAGAGGGAGAAGGGGGGAAGAGGTGGATAGGAGGGAGGAGGTAAAAGCGAGTGGAGAAGAGAAGTAAAGGAGGAAGGGGCAAAGTCGGCCTGAGAGATGGCCGATATCGTACATTCATGAAGGGATTGACTCACTAGACCAAGAACCCTAAGGTTTCTTAGGGTGCTATGGTCGGAGTGGGCATGAAGGGACAGCAACTTGAATCAAGGGAAGGGGATATGGTCAACGGTTCAGGAGATGCACACTTAGGAGTTCTAGCAGGCGAACGACAAATATGCAGCCTCTTTTGAACATCAAGTTGGGTAATGCTCCTGCTCTCGAACGGGGGGTGCTGGTCTTTCCCGACTATTCCCATTATAATTGAGGATATTAAGGTAGAGTACGCTGATAGTCTTATCGTTTTTGTTTTTCGACTAGTCGAGTATTGACTCTTTATCGTGAACATGGGGGACGAGAATTCTGTTGTTAAACCATCAATGTCTGTGGAAGAAAAGAACAAAATTAAGGGCATTCTGGCAGATTGTTATAATGGTCTTCTTCCGGATAAAATTATCTCAAAGAACATAGAAATCAGCGAGGACTATGTCAGAGTGGAAGTTGACCCCATCCTGTACGCAGTACAAAAAGAATGGCTTCACGAGAATGCAGTTTCAGTGTTTTTCGGAAATGACTCCTCGTCCCTATCGGTGAAAGTTAAAATTCAGCTTATCCGAATGTATGAAAATGGTTGGGCAAACACGTGAGCAATTAATGTTCCCCCAAAGAGGGGAGTGTTTCACAATGAAGGTTATAACTTGGTAGTAACGTACGTGGCTTCGTCGCAGCAGGTTGCACAATGGATGCTATAGAAAAAGGAGGACAAAATTAGCCTGGACAATCTTCTTTCGCCCATGGATGTCAGGGAACGAATTATTCGAATGGAGAGAGGCTCAGAGGTACAAATTCTTATGGATATGTTGCATGTACGTTCAAGTGGTTGCCTTGTCGTGAGAGAAGGTTAACAACAGTCGTATTTTTCATCACCACTTCAGGATGCAACCTGCCTAAACAAGTGGTTTTCAGGGTCTTCGGAACTTTCACCACTTCAGGGGACCCTTCACCACTTCAGGATGCAGCCTGCCTAAACAGGTGGTTTTTAGGGTCTTCGGACCTTTCACCACTTCAGGACGATTCAGGATTTTCAGACTGCCCAAAACTCTCACTTCACCACTTCAGGATCCAACCTGCCTAAACAGGTGGTTTTCAAGGTCTTCGGACCTTTCACCACTTTAGAACTGCCCAAAATTCTCTCTTCAGAATTAAATTTTTCATTCCTGAATTTTCAGCTACCCGTTAATCGCTTGTGCTTGTCGTATGTAACTACAACAGTCAAGGAAGCGTTCGGGGCTATTCTAATTAAATATGATACGTATACAGAAGCCGTATCGTCGGAGCTGATCAATATACGGTTTGACTTAGAACCTGGCGCACGTACCCAATATAAACCGTATTTAATTATTAATATGAAGAATGGTGATTATGTGGAGATTGAGATTGTTCACGCCCAGACACAATGGTGTCGAGCATGTAGGCAACATTTCTACAGAAGATGATGACGCCTGTCTGGCAAAAAAAAAAACGGCAGCGAAAGGCAAAGGGACCCAAGACCCTCAACCAGATGGTCCTCATGATAGGTCAGGAACAGGAGTGAGAAAGGAGGCAGAGAAAGGTGTCCCCCCAACCGGGGCTCAAAACTCAGAAAAAACGAAGGAAAATCGAACAGAGGAAAAAGCCTCGGGAGGAGAGGGGACTTGGAACAGAAAAAGACGGATGGAAACGGTCCCCGCCCAGAAGAAATGAAGGATGCGGGTGAGGAGGTAAAAGGGAAGGAACTTAAAGGAGACCTAGGACCTTCGGGGTTGGATAAAAAGGGAGCACGACAAGAAGGGAAAGAAGAAAAGATAACATCGCCTACCCCATACAAGGATGCCCTTTGCACCCCACCAGCCAAAGCGGGGAGCAAGAAGAAACCCAAGACACGAGAAAGGAAGGAACTCAGGGCAATACCAACAAAGAAGTGGAGGATGAACTCAAAATCAAACCCTCCACAGGAAAAGAAAACCCCTGAGAAACAATCAGAAGAAAGGGAAGAGGGGTCTGGGATAATGATATCCGAAGACCAAAATGAGACGAAGGGAAAAGATAGGACTGAAAATGAGAAGGAAGGGAAGGAAACGAGGCAGGAGACACAAGGAGTTACGAGGGAAGATCTGACAACGAAAGAGAACCACCCTTCTCCTAGCCCCATGAACCTTTCCCCAACCATATCAGGAGGGAACCAGACTCACCTCAACAAAGAGGAAGCTCATGGTCGGATTCCTAAGCACCAATCATCAGACCTAACTTCGAGATCTAAGTACTCACGGACGGACGCAAAATTGTCCGAAGAAACGGGTGGAGCTGTGGAAAGGCTCACTTATTTCCTCACAGGAACGATGTCCCACGTCTCAATATACAACAACAAAATATACGAGGAAGCACAGTCTGAAGCGGAAGCGGTAACAGAAAAATAGTCGCTGACAAACTTGGTAAAAAGGAATAAAGGGAAAACTCAACTTACCTCAGAGCACGAGGATGAAAACAAAGATGCAAACAGAGACAATGACGATGGCATCGAGGAAGAGCTGGAACAGGAGT